CTCTCATCCCCATCCCCGCTGTCCCCGCCGCTGTCCTCCTCCCCGTCGCCCTGTGGCCGCTCCAAGAGGATGTCGACCGCCGCGGGGCCCGCTGCACGCCGAAACCCCGTCGCGCGGCAGCCGGAGAGGTGCTTGAACCGCTGCAGGCCCCGGTATATGCTGCCTCCCGCGGTGATGCGACTCTGGCAGCGCTGCCCCTGGGGCTGTCCGTCCAGCACCAGCTGCAAGCTGATATCAAGCGGCAGCTTCACACCAGGAAACCACGTCGGGACCAAGGCGACCGGCACCCCAAGAGCCTGGAGCTGGTGGTTGTGGCTGCTGAGGGTTTGGCTCTGCGGCCCACACAAGGGGAGAGGAGGCGAGCGGTTGGACGGGCTAAAGGGGCGCGGTGGGGAAACACAGGGTTCCAGGGGTGGGGGGAGGTGACCTGGAGAGGTTGAGGTGTCCGCACTGCTGCTTGCAACGCTCTGCCGCTGCGAACACGCAACGTGCAAGCAGCCTGTGATCTTGTGATCACGCTGTGGGTTCCGCGCCCACCACTCTGATGAGGGTCCCGACAGGCGCGCCATGCCTGGCCGTGCAACGGCCAATGCCACCGGCACCGCCACCAGCGTCGCCACCAGCGCCACCACCAGCGCCAAGCACGTCAGGTAAGCTGCCGCCAAATGCCTTTGGGCTGTCGCCCCCCACTCCCTGTCGTGTGTGCGCCTTGGCTGGCTGTGGCGCCATTGCTTGCGGCTGCGGTGCTGTTGAATACGTAGGGGCGCAGGGACGCTGCTGCTGGTCAGTTTGAGACGGCAGGGCAGCATCAGTGCTGGCGCCGCCCTCGCCCGTCGGGGAGGGAGACCGCCGTTGCCGCTTCCCATGAGCTCCGCTGCTCATCTCGCTGTTGCTACGCTTGATGTCACGCATTTGTGTAGACCTAAGCCGCAGTTCGGCTTGTAGCTATAATAGTATAAACAATGTGATACGGTGGGTGGCACGACGATCTGCATAACATGTCAAGTACACGTGTCAAGAGACGGTGCTTCGTGGAATCAAGCGTAAGAGATCATGCGAGCCAGCTCGCAGAGTCTATCATAAACAACCCTGCCATACGGTAGTAACCAGCCGGCAACCGCATCATATAGAAGCATCAACGAGTTTTCTCTCGCACTGAAATCGGTTTTGCAGCCTATTTCAGCACAGCTATGCTCCGGTGTTCAAAGCATGCTGCCCCTTTGCATGGCCTGCAATGCATGCTGTGCCTGCTGTGCACACTTTACTGCGATTGGCCGGTGTGGTGGTGGTGTCTTGCCATCACGCTTAAAACGTGTCAGACAGCCTGAATGTTGTCAGGGCGTTGTTGTGCCCCATTGATGCGCAGGCGTGCACGCACGCACGAGCGAGCGCGCGCGCGCGCGCCACGCACGCTCGCCCCCCCCCCCCCACCCACACACACACATGCACGCATGCGCTCGCGAGCGCCAGCTGCGAAAGGCGCCGTGCACCCCCCACAGCCTCACGCCCTCCCCCAACCATTGGCCTGTCGCACCTCCGGCAGGTTGTGCACCTGTTCCAGCCTGCTGTCCCTGTTGGTGGCCGCTGCCGGCGGCCACCAGAGCAGTCGGCTCGGCCCACGCGCGGCACAGGGGCGTCAACATCGTCCTCCATCGCGATAACGCGGCTGCTGCCGAGCGCTCATGCCGTTGCTGATGCTGTACTGAGCTCATGCCCCGTTGCTCTGCCGCACCTCGCGCTTCCGCGCGCGCACTCATGCACCTGTGCTGCCGCTTGGCCCCTCTTAGATAGATAGATAGACACATAGATAGGTTACTCATGCCATAGCATCACTGCCATCGGCCCCGCGCTCATAAGAGCGGACCCTCTTCTACTTTGCCCACCCTGCACTGCAGTGATCGACCCAATTATCATCGGGCCCACTGCAACGCCGCATGTATCTGTTGACAAGACAGCACCCACTGGGGGTGGCACGCGCTGGTTGACTTCCCCGAGCACGCAGACCTACGCGCTCAACCATGCTTCGTACCCCTGTCTGCCCATGTGCTGCCTGCACTCTGGTGCCATGTTTGGTTGCGCCGCAGACACATGCACTGCTTTGTTGGGGCCTTTCTCCACGCCTGCTTACAGAGACGCTCTCCGAAGCGTTCACCCGTGGATGATTGCTGCATCAAAACCAATGCTGCTCCTCATGAAGCTGCTCCTGCTGAGACTGTGGCTGTTGCTGGTGCAGCTGCCTATATTGCTGCTGTCTACTACTGCTGCTGCTCCCCTGCTGCTCCTGCTCCCCCCAACAAGCGGACCAGCAATGTGCCCAGCGCTCTGTCAACCACTGCCGGCCCTCGCCGCCATCCGCTCCATCCAGGCCCTCACCAGCCCCACCTCCCCCTTGCCACACGCGCGCCGCAGCCGCCGGTAGTCGGACACCACAAAGCGGTGGCAGCCCAGGGGAGCCGCCGTCGCCGCGTCCACTGCCAAGAGCACAGCATCCAGCTGCGCCTCTGGCAGCCCCAGCGCGTCGGCCGCCCTCTCGACCTCATCAAACACTGCTGCGGCGGCATTCGTCGCCTTTGCCGCAGCCGCCCCATCCTCCGCGTCAAACCGAAGAATCTCGCGCAGCTGCAGCGCGGTGAGCGCCGCGGACTGGGCGGCGAATGGCACCGACTGGGCCGCATCACCGCAGCTGGGCACGTGAGCACCAGGGGTGGCGCCGGCCGCTGCAGCCTCTGGTGGGTGGCTGCTGGGGCCTGCAGTGGGGTCGGCCACAGGGCGTGGCGAGGCGGGGGGCGCTGGAGGCTGCCGCGCAGGGGTCGGCATGGCATCGCGGGCAGGCGCATGCTCTCCGCCCTGGCCGCCCTGACGCTGCTTGCCGCAAGCGGCGCCCTTTGGTGCAGCTCTATGTACGTGCTGTCCTGGCTGGCTGCGCGGCTGGTGGCGGCCAGCCCCGGCGCCCCACCAGTGGCCGCCTCGTCCTTTGAAGCCATGGGCTGCTGCTGCTGCTGCTGCTGCTGCTGCTGCTGCTGCTGCTGCTGCTGCTGCTGCCGCTGACGTGGGGACGGCTGCTGATGGTGCTGCTGCACTAAATCTGGGTCTGGTTCCTGCCTGTGCTCGACCCCACGCCCTGACAGCGGCTCCACGTTGAGCTCCCCCTCCTGTTGCTGCTCTTGCTGCACCACTTGTCCCACGCCCGCGGGCTGATAAGCAGGCCCCGCCACCCCCGCACAATCGCGTTGCCGCTGGGCGGGCGCCGCTCGTGCGCCACCATGCTTGCTGCTTCGTGTCACCATAGACTGCCTCACCAGAATCAGGTCCAGCGCCGCTGACCCCTCGCAGCGGCGGAAGCCCGTCAGCGTGCAGGCCAACTTGCTGCGCTCTAGCTTCTGGATAGCTTCCGCTGAGCTGTCCTCCATGACTCTGAACTTGATACGGTTGTTCCCGTGCGCGTCGCCCACGATGCGCGCCTTGCGCACTTCGCTGCTAAAGCGCCCGCCATAGGCCCGCCCGTTGACCCTGAGCAGCAGGCTGACCTTGAGCGGCAGAGCACGGCCGGGAAAGCAGGCGGCCAGCAGGCCCACGGGGACAGACACGCCGGCGGGGCCAGCGCGTGGGAAGATAGCCTGGTCCTGATGGGGCAGGAGGGCAGCGACAGACGGCTTGCTGCAGCAACAGACGGGTTGCTTGCAAAGGATTTGGCAGGAGCTGTCTGGCGTATCAGACACAGGTGTCTGAAACCCGTGTCGAAATTCTGGCGGGTGCACGGCCTGCATCGGCACAACGGTCATTCGGGTGGCAGGGCGCAGGCTGAAGACTGCGCAGGCGCAAGTGAGCGCAGCCCAGCCCGAAGCAAGCGCTTCCCGGCTTCGAATGACGCCTCACCGTAGGCCACAGGTTGCCTGCTGCGCCAGAGCCGCAGGGAATCCGAGCCGCGGCGCCTCCAGAGGAAGCAGTGGGCCTTGAATAACGGCCCACGGCGGCAGCTGAAGGCCCTGAACTCCCTCGTAGCCGTGGGGGGCCGGGCGGGATGCTCTGCCTTGTGGGCTCTGCGCTGGGACCATGACCAGCGCCCTGCGCGTTGCACGCACTCTCCTGCAATGCCGTTGTAGTTTGCTGCTGCTGCTGCTGGTTCTGCTGCTGCTGCTGCTGGTTCTGCTGCTGCTGCTGCTGGTTCTGCTGCTGCTGCTGCTGCGGCGGCGGCGGCGGTTGTTGCAGTGCTGGCGGTTCCATGGCTGCCGGAGAGCACGGTGGCTCCTCCTTTATGGGCGACTTCCCCAGGCTGGCCCCAGCAGCGCCGTCGCTGCACGGCGGCGCCGCCGCCGCAGTCGCGGCAGGGGCGCAGGGCCGCTGCTGCTCGATGGGCTCTCCCCCAAAATCGGCGCCGGCTGCGCCGGCGCCAAACCGTGGCGGCGGCGTTCCCCCCGCGGGTGCCCTGCCCGCACGGATGGGGGGCTGCTGCCGCCGATTGTGTGCGTCCACCGCGTTGGCGCCACTGGCCTTGTCCTGTGGCAGAGGCGAAACAGAACTCCGTGGGCGCTTCTCACACCGGCCTTCACTGCGCGCCTGCTGCGCAGACGCCGGGCGTCGTGGGGCGAGGAGGACGTGTGCAGTCAGCGGGCAGTGCTGTGCACGCGTGCGATGTGGGGTCCCGTCCTGCCACACAAGCTGTTAAGAAGTGATTGAAAGGGCGGACCGGCCTCACCAAAGCAGCTAGTTGATGCGTGCTATTTGGCACGGTGATGCTGAGGCAAACATATTGGGCTGCGCCTGCAGCTCACCTGGGCAGACTCCAGTTCTCGCAGCTGCAACACCTGGCAGCCTGCGCAGACCCACCCCCACCCCTCCACCCTCATCATGGTGGAGCAGTCGAAAGACTCCCTGCACTCCACGCAGTGCCTGCACACATGGGGGTGGGATGGGGACAGCAGCTAAACGTTCAGCTGTGGGACAGCGCACCGGGTACGAATTCACGTAGCACCCCGCCCGGCGCATCAAGCGGCCGTCGCAAAAAAGCAGGCAAGCCAGCGACGTGAGCCGTTACATGTTTATTAATTTGAAAGGCTTCTGGCCAATGCTTGGAATGCGTATTTTGTGCATGCGTGAGTCAGGTGTCCTAGCTATTTGTTCATGCCGGTCATCTGAAGGTATCTAGGCATCCTACCAGCGTCTGCCTGTGGCAACACCACGGGCGCTCTGATGGTACTTGGCCTGGGGGCCAGCCTCCTCGGCCTGGGTTGCCCGCGTTGGACACAGCTGTGGCGCTCCATATCGCTGCCACAGCTGCTGCTGCTGCTGCTGCTGCTGCTGCTGCTGCTGCTGCTGCTGCTGCTGCTGCTGCTGCTGCTGCTGCTGCTGCTGCTGCTGCTGCTGCTGCTGCTTGGACGGCGCTGGAGGGTACTTGTCATACTCGCTCATAGGGGCAGCGCAAGGCGGCGGCGGCGAGGGCGAGGGCCGTCCTCGCTTTCTCCCTGGCGCTACAGAAGCGGTGCCGCGCGGCGGGCCGTCACGGCCGCGCTGCTCCTGCGCAGCTTCTGGCACATCTGTTAGGGCAGCGATGGTGGTGGAAGCTTCTGTGGCGACCGCAGTATCTCAATGAACGATGTGCGGTGAGCGAGGCGTCAAAATCTTGCAACCTCTCGCGCCATGGCGGCCTTCCAGTGGCTGGCCCAGAGCACACGCGTATGCTGGCATGCCCGTCCACACTCTGTCCTGCAACTAAGCAAGACGTGTCGTGGATCAGGGGCTCTTGATACAAGGGGTGGTCTCACCTGGCTGTCGGGGAGGCCAGGGTCTGTCGCCTCTGCTTCCACCTCCCCTGCTGCTGTCCCCGCCAGCCACAATCAGGCGGCATGAGTCATTCCATCCGAATTGGTCAGCCTCCCCATCGTCATGTAGCACTGCAGCTCGACGAGGGCGCCGTTACATTTATACATATGATGCACACGGGTCAAGGACATGAGGACAACGCCACAGCCACGGACCCAAGCTTCAGCTACACACGCCTTGATGCATTCAATGCCGCTGCCTCTGCTGCCTGGAGGGGTGTGGCGCGCCTCGGTCAGGGCGCGCGCGGGGGGCCGTGCCTTGGTCGAGGCGCTGGGCGTGCGCCAAGCGTGCGAAGCCGTCGGCCTCCCTGATCACCTGTGACTCTTCTAGAAAAGGCGTTGTAAGCACAGATGATGCCAGTGCACCACACGTCTCCCAGGTGGATGGCGCAGGCCGCGTGGACAGCTGGGGAGTGAAAAGAGCGGCATGGACGTGAGCACACACAATCTTCTGAGATCGGACATCAGCAGCAGAGCGCTGGGGGCGCAGGGGTTTGAAAGCAGCCGCAGTTCAAACCACACTAAGCACATGTGCGCAGTAAGACCCACCAGGTGTTCCTGTCACGACAGGCCACGGAGGCGGGTCCACCATGCCTCGCAGCCTCGGGCCACTCGTCCCGAGATCACACCGGCTCAATAACCACGCACAACTCCACGATTGTGCGCAGTAACCAGACCAAGACGCACTGTCGATCATGTGCGGAAGTAGAATGGCGCAGCGAGGTTGCCAGAGTGATGGCATCCCAGTGGTCCATCATTACTAATCTTATGTATAGTTTTGCATACGGTACACATCGCACACCACAACATGGCGCACACAGCGTTTGGCACAGTAACAGGTAGATTGTTAGAGGTCTCGAGCTGCAAGGTTGCTCACATACTTGTCGGCGCGTAACGATGACACCGCAGCTGGCGAGCCACTGACTCCTGAAGGCCTGGCCCTGCATGAAAATTCAGATGGCTGTGAGGACGCCGCCAACGTCCACCCAACAATGAAAAGTAATGCACAGCATTCGAGTGCGTCCCCGAAGCATCGCAGGTGACAGTCATGCCAGCCGTGCGCGTGCGGCACGCAATGCATGTGCCGTGCAGCACTGTGGCGCAATTCAACTTCAAATCATGCAGCGCAACCGCACCAATATCCATCCATCCTTGGGTTGAATGTCTCTCATACATACATTTATAGACTGCGTGGCAAACTTGCTGTAACAATTTGTATTTTGTAGCCAAAAGGCTTCGATTGCCACCCTCGCCGGAAACTTCAACAAACTTCAGCCGCTATCTGACATTTCAATTTCACTGATGGAAGGTGAACTCGACGAGAGCCGATACGTCACCTGTACAGAGTTCCACGTTTGCCTCGATCGACCCTTGCTTGCAGTTTGCAGCGGTATCGGACTATTGGCTGGGTGATGCTGCTCTGCAACACCATCGCAAATAGCAACCTGCCCTCATCGTACATTGTGATTTACTGCTGTGTATGTCTCCAAGTGCCATTGGCAATGCCACAGTGGTGCCGGCAGCGGTGTACTCTTCAGTGTCCTCTTTGATGCAGCAGTTGCATGCGCACATGCACTGCGGTCAAAGTTCGCTCCCAGCCTTGACGACGCGGGTGCCTCCACGGCCCACGATCTTGACACATGTTTGAAAATTGACTGGATCGTTCTTGGAAACGCGTATCCATGAAACCCGAATCATAACTATGACTAGTCTGACAGTCTTGCCAGATCTGGACTAGCTTGTTATTTGCGAGACCCTGATCTCGACAAGCGCCGCTTAGATATGGATATCTGAGCGGATTTTTGGAAATTGAGCCGCCTTGGGAGGCGGACAGGCGGCCAACATGAGCATGAGCTTGGCGCGCACCGCGTCCCAGTCCTCCGCTGGTGGATCGTCTATTGCGTCAGGGACATCCGCTGCAGTCAGGTAGGACCAATTATTAGATTATCGTTGGCAATACGCGTTCAGGGGGATGCGCATGCGTCACTTGCACAAGGCAGCGGTAACAGCGCTGCGTGGGTGCACCGCTGCGGCGGGATGGTGATGGTGATGCTGGCACAATCAAGGCATGCAAACCGCGCTCCGCCTGCTATGATGCGGCGCGTCCTTGATTGCCGCACACAGCGTCGGCGGCGGCGGGCGCGATGGGCTGGGAGATGAAGGAGACGCGCTTGGCTACACCCAGACGATTTGGAACGCAGTGAGTTGGTCATTGGTGCAGGTGTTGGCTGTACTCAGGCACAGCGGACGACAAGGAGGCGGCGGCAGCGGCAGGTGTTCTGGGCGGTGGGCATCGAAGCGCATGAGTTGCGCATGGGGTGTTGGCGGGGTGGGTGCTGCAGTAGGGGTTTGGGGTAGCTGCTGGGCGCAGTGCAGGACCCATGGCCCTGCGCTTGGCCGTGTAGGCATGAGCACGGCAAAGCCAGCCGCCCTGCGGCACAGCAGCTGCTGGCCAGCCGTCTATGCAATTGGCCAACCGCGCGAGCGCGGGCTCAAGGGGCATAAAGTGCCCTTTCAATGCAGACCGCGGGCCGCCGGTGCTGATGCATCACCCAATGCCTCCCGCTCCGCAGCTGCATCGGGGTCTCATGTGCAAGCCCCGCACGCACTTACAATGCGCATGCACTAATGCACAGACGCATGCGTGCCACATCAGACCGCATGCGCGCCCCATGCGCAATCTCGGACACATGCGCAGGCCTTTGGCATGCTTTGGACGCTGTCCAAGGAGCGCTGGGACTTCAATAAGAGATGGGTGGCCATACGGCTGGCCCTCGACCACCTGCAGCTGCTGGCACTGGTGCTTGGGCCCACGTTTGGCTGGGCCCTCGACTACAAGCAGCAGTGAGCGGCTGGCGCGCGCGTGTGAGGTTTTCCCCTCTTGGCTCTAAGCTGCGGGCTCTGGCGCGAGGGTTGGGGCCACTACTGGCTGCAGCCGCGGGCATCATCATGGGGTAGGGTTGACGGCTGTACTTCATGCCCTCTCGGGGCTATTCGCTGGACTCAGGTGGTGGGACGCGCTGGCGGCGCCACTGGTGAAGCCCCTGGTGGCGCCCCTGGTGAGGGCGAGGAGTGAGGGGAGGGCGGAGGCGCTCGGTGCGGCGGGCGCCAGGGCGGTTGCGCAGCGAGCGGCGAGAGGGGCGCGCTGCACATTTGGAGCGGCAGGCGGGCGCCAAGGCGCGCTGCAGGCGCTGTTCTTTGCGGCGTGCTGATCAGGGTCAGTCTGATTGTCTGAACACACAGGCCCGGGGCACACACAGTCGCTCGCCGCAGCCGGCTGCCGGCTGCTGCTGCATTCAGCATGCCTGCATCCACTTGTCACAGACGCCCCCGCCCTCCCCGGATGGCTGGGCACCTCAGGGGTACAAGCCGTTCCTGTGTCTGTTCTACGTGATCGTGGGCCTGGCGGGCGCGACAATGCTGGCGTGCGGCTTCGTGGCGTTCTCATTCGCCAGGAATGGCATATTCCCCAACAAATGGTGCGGCGGTGCGGCTTGCGTTGATCTGTCGGTCGCATCTCTTGGCTCCGCCATCGGCTCAGCTGGTCACCCATATGACTGGCACAAGCGACCGCGAATCGCCCCCAATCGCATGTGCCACTAGCCCACCAACTTCCGACCTCACCCATAAGCCTGGATAGTTCCAGAAGCGGGCTTTTGCGGGATGCTGCGACAATCCTAACCCTAATCCTCACCTCCCCAGCACGGCGGCCGCCACCCTCGCCACCCAACCCCCGCCGCCCCCCGCGCCCCGCTGCGCCGCGCACGCCCCGGCCCTGCAGGCCGACGCGCCTGCTGCGCGCGGTGTGCGGGCTGTTCTACGGCGCCTGCTACCTCGGAGTCCTCAACATCCTGGCGACGCCCCTCGACTGCCAGTACCTGGCGACCAGCTCGGCTGTGAAGATGACGAGCGCGGACTTTGCCGGCGTATGTGAGCGGCTCAGGGGGTGGTGGCCGTGTCGCAGGATTGGGCGGCGTGTGCGTCTCGGGCGAAGGGCATGGAGGGTGACTGCGCAGGCTCATTAGCATGTGTATTGTTGAGTGGAGGGATCTTGGAAGACTTTTAAGGCTCAGTGGCAATGTCGCATGAACACGCATGGTGGATCACCCCACTCACTCGGGACTCACGGGACCCCCGCCGCCGGCCCTCATGCTCGGCCGTCCCCCACCCCTCGTCCCCCCCCCCCGCCACCTGCGCCAGCCTGCAAGCACGCCCCCCACCTGATCCACCTCGGGGTGTCCGCGGTGATGACGCTCCTCGTGGCCCTGGTCGCCCTGCTCTTCGCGCTTTCCGAGGCGTCCTGCAACCTCGGCAGCCACCACCCCATGGCGGCCGGCCACGCGGGCGTGGAGGTCAAGGCGTGGCTGTTCAAGACTGTCATCGTGCTGGCGGCCAACCTGCTGACGGGCCAGAAGTGAGGGGAGATTGTTGGTTGGCTCCTTTTTTGTGCCAGTGTGTGTGAGGGAAGGATAGGAAGAGACCACACACACTCACGCACACATGCATGCACGCTTGTGCGCGCGCGCACACGCAGACACGCGCGCACGCACACACGCGCATGCAGGCAGGTACAGCCGATTGCGGTGGCAGTGGCGGCCGTGTGGCTCACATACATCTACATCAGATGGGTGGGTGCAGCCCTGTAATGGGCGACATAGTAGTCGGCAACGCAGCACGCGCTGGCCCTCGATTTGCAAGGACACAGAACGGTTGCGTGCAGCTTAGGTTGCTCTCACATCGCTTGCGCCCCTTGCGCCCCTGCGCCCCAGTCCACGTATTGCAACCGCACACGCTGACCTGCCTGACAATCCCCTGAAATCCAGGAGCCCTACCACTTCCCCTGGATGAACCACCTCCGCGCCGCCCTGTTTGCGGCGCCGGCCCTCATCTCCTGCGTCTCGGTCCTCCTGCTCTGGCCACCCTCCCGCGCCGACCACGCGCGCGCGTGGCAGATGACGGTCGCGGCGCTCGGGGCCGCGCCGGCGGCGGCGGTGGTGGCGGGGGTGGCGTCCTGGTGGCGGTGGCGGTGGGGCACGCAGCGGGCGCTTTGGGCCTTCAGGTTTGTGGTTTTGGATTGCAGGGGATGGACTTTTGTGACATCTCCATGTCCTTTTTTGCGGCGCGGGGGGGGGGGATGGTCGACAAGGTCAATGGCGTCGGGCGTGGTGGATGCGGCGGGCTTTACTTGCCCGCGCACTTCCATGTGTGCACTTTGTGCATGTACGACCGAAACAGGGTCAGGTGTGTGTGAGAAGAATGGGATATCGAGCTGCGAGGACGTGCAAGTAATCGGGCGCCTCCTGCCGGCATTCCACACACAACGCTCGACCCTCAAGACGCTCACTCCCCCTTCTCCACCCGGCCTCCCTTTCCGAACCGCGTCGCCCCCCTCCCCCCCCCCCCCCCCCCCCGGCGCTTTGCTCCGCCCCGCCCTGGGTGCCTGCAGGACTGCCGACCCCAGCCAGCTGGAAGGCCCCGCCCTGAAGGACCTTGTGCGCTTCGCCGGCCCCATGGAGGCCGACCTGGCCGCCAGGGCGGCCGCGCGCACGTGGACAGACTATTGGGAGGACGAGTTCGACTCGGAGGCGGTGGCGGTGGCCGCGACGATATACAAGGCAAGCGCGGGTGGTGGAATTGGGCGTTGATGCTTGTATCGGTTGATGTTGACGCCCTCAGCCGGTGGGTGTTTGCTGTGTGTGTGATGTTTTTAGGGCTGGGGTCGTGTTGGTTGTGCGCGTGCTTGTTTGGGGGAATTTTGGGGTGTGGGTCTGCAGGGGCTCTGCTGCGGAAAGTGCGGCTGTCACCCAGAGAGCCTGCAGCGCGCATGACCCAGGATTGTAGACTGCTAACTTTGATTTGACAGAAACAATGTGGCATGGCGCTGACAGCTTATGTGCAAGGCCGCATGGCGCTGTGCTACCCCCTGAAAATCCCATCCCCTTAGGCCTGCGCCGGCCAACCCCCACCTGTACCCCCCAATTCCTTGCATGGGCCCGCACCTTCGCCTCTCTTGTCACTCCCTCGCCCCCGCCCCGTTACATGAAAGCCGTACTCGCCCTTCAGAACCGCCACCTGCACGTGCGGCTCCCGCCCTGCCTGTCCCGTAGGCCGCCCTGATGCGCTTCGACCGCAACCCCGGCCTCATCCTGGCGAATGCATCGCTGATGATCGACGTCCAGGTGCGTGCGTGCGCGAGCATGGCGCACAAGGGGCGGCCATCTGTTTGCCACTAATGCCACTGGTCGACAGCATTGCTGGGCTCAAACTCAGTCAGTTGACAAGGTTGCTGGGCTGATTTGTCAGGTTAGAGCTGGGCGCCTCGTAAATGCTCTGAAGCACTTCTTCAGAAGGGTGCCGAATGCAACATGACTGCGCGCTGCGACCCTGGATACTGGATCGACGCCAGCAACACAGCCAGCATCCCACTTTCAATAACCTCCAATCCGCCTCGCCTGAGCTTATGACCTTTCAACCCTGTCTGACTCTGAAAACACACCCGCAAAACCGTGGGGATCCCCAAACCCGGCGGTCCATCCCAGGGCAACGCGCATGCGGGCAGCAGCCAGGTGCAGGCGGCAAAAAAGCTGGAGCCCAGCACGTGAGCCGCGGGGGCGCCGCCGCTGCGCGCGGATGCAATATCGAAGTCTCAGTTGGAAGCCGGCCGGGCGGGTGTCCCACAATTTGTCTGTTTTGCGGGTCATTCTCGCTTGCAGCACCCTGAAACAACTACATTTTTGCGGCCGCAGCGACTGTTGTGGCCACCCTCACGCGCCCTGCCGCCCAACGACAGGGCCCAGCGCTTTGTCATTTTTGTGCGGGAGCAGCAGCAGATGGCGCGTCTGCAGACCCAGGGCGCCGCGACAGAGTCGGCGCTGGACCTGTCGGCCTATGTCGAGTTCAATAGGAACTACAAGTGAGTGGCTGGTGCAATCAAGATTTTCGGGTCTGAGTGATCTTGGTGATGTGTGATCTGTGATCCGAGGTCTGCAGGGCCTGGTCTGACGTGGCGATCCCTGCAGAGCGGCGTGCGCGGCCCCCATCCTCAATCCTGGGGGCGTCAACGGCTGCCCTTGCCGCCTGGCTCGCTGCTGTTGCCGAAAGGCGGCGATGCGTGCTCGGCGCGCATGCGTCTTTGCACCTGTCCCGCCTGCGTCGCCTGGGCAGGTCGCAAACCGCTATGGCTCGACCTCCGAGGGGAGTCACAATCGGCCCTGTGCCAGCCACCTACGGCAGCCCACGAGCACGTTGTGGGACTTCAATGATGAATGACTTACTTTGGGTCTTGAAAACATCCGCCTGCTCGCGCCCGCTGCACACAACGCCCCACAGGCAGGCGCTGCGCGTGCACAAGTCGGCGCTCCACTCGGCGCGCAACTTCTGGCGCGCGCTGCTGCGCGCTGACGTGGCGTTCAACGACATGGTCAAGGGGCTGGCCAAGATCGAGGCCGCAAAGTAGGCTGGTTCATGACATGCAACCAATCTCAAAACCAATCTCAGATAGAAAATGCCAACTCATTGGATTGTGGGTGCATCTGCCAAAAGCATTTCGCTTGGACAAGATGGTGGGCATCCCTGACCGTTGAGGGGCGCCGCCAGTGGGGGCGCTGCAGGAAACAGTGGGTGGGGCGGGCAGCCGAGCCGCTTCCGGGGCCGGCCGCTGGGAATTGGTGCCTAAAGCCTGCCTCCTCCTGAATCCTGCACCCCAACTCTGAAACCCTGGCGCCTGTTACGCTTGTGGTACCCTCTCTCTTCCAACTCCTCCCGCCTCAGGCAGCGCTGCGACCGCAACTACCAGCTGCTCTTGGAACGCTACCCCTCAAACGTCAAGGCAAGACATGCTCTCTTTGTGACTGGGGCATTCTCTTGTTGTCACGCCTCTCAAATCTTCATAGGCGGTGCAGGGCGAGGCGCTTGTGGGGCCAGGGTGTTCAAGTGGGGCGCACCTGTGCAGAGCAGCGGAAGCGGCCGTTAGTCACCTGCTGCTGGCAGTCCAGAAGCGGCGCCGCCAACCCGAAAGCCCCGACTTTGTGACGTCACACTGACATCATCAACGCGTGCCCCCGCCCCATGCGGCCGCTTAGGTCTTGAGGGCGTATGCCAAGTTTGTGGAGGACGTGAGGCACGACCCCTGGGGGGCTTCAAAGTACCACAGGTGCGCATGTGCGCGCGTGTCTGCATGTGTGTTTTGAGGGGGTCCAGCGAGATGAATAGAGCGTTTAGGCGTTGTTTCCACTACGCGGGGGTTGGCTCATGGGCTGCTCTTTCACCAACGAGGTGTTTCTCCTGTTCACAGGAAGGGGCTGTGGGGTTCACCAGGGGGCGCTGTTTGGCTGTTGTGCTCGCATCGCGTGGGCGCCACTCACTGCAGCCTCCCAGGACACGGTCCTCCAGGGAAGTATAATCCAAGACCTCCTTGACGAAGGCCCCCACCTAAACTGTCAAACAAGACTCATTGCTACCCTCTCCCTGCTTTGCCACCCCGTTCTCACTCTAGAATATCACGTCTACAAAGCAAACCCAACTGAACCCAACACAGCACACCAGTTAAAACACACCACCTCGATACCCCTGCAAAACATACGAAAACGAAATGCATGCGTGCAGCGAGGCGGACCATCTTGAGGAGCAGGCAACCTCAGGGGTGGCCGGCCTTGGAGGCGGCGGCAGCGGCGGCGACGGCGCGGCGGCGCTCGACGGGGGAGTCGACGGCGGCGCTGCCGCCGGCGCACAGGACCCATCGTTGGTGCGGGGGCGCGCCCCGCCCAGGCGCCCTGCGTTGCTTCTTCTCAAAATCTGGTGTTTTGCAGGACAAAAACAGAATCCAATGTTGGCAAGGCAGGGGCCGCATGAGAAGGGGTTGCGCAGTAGCGGCCGCACCCCCCCTCCCCTTGTAAGGGCCGTCGCTCTACAAAATCGTTGATAGATCAGAGCTGCCGCCACTCAAGCCTGCACCTCTCAGCCAGGCACATGGCTTACGTCCGCTGGCACCTGCAGGTCGACGAGCGCACTGCGTGTGTCTGCATCATTGACGCGGGTGGCACCATTCAAATGGCCAACAAGGTGGGGTTGTGTGGCGGTGGCTAGAGTGCGCGTGTACTTATATCTGTGTGCGTGCGAGTGCGTGTGAGTGTGTGTGTGTATGTGTGTCTGTGTGTGTGTGTGTGTGTGTGTGTGTGTGTGTGTGTGTGTGCGCGCGCGCGCACGTGCGTACGCGCATGCATGACTTGGTATGTATGGTCATATTGCACGTGCATTTGGCGCCATGCGGTCGCCAGTTGGGTCAAACTGCACGGGTAGATTGGGCCACACGCCGCTGCCCATCCCGATGCCGGCAGCGGGCGTCGCCAAAGCATCACAGCTCAAATGGCAGCCGCTGAAGCAACCCTCTCGCTGTTCACAACCAAGTATTTCCATACGGTAAGCATTCAATCATCATCATCATTCCATTTGTCACGTTCAGAACCTCCTGAAGATGTTTGGCTACAAGAAGGCTGAGCTGGAGGGCAAGAACATCAGCCTGCTCATGCCGCAGCCCTTCAGGTGCAGCCGGTCAGGGAGGGGTGGTGGCACCCGGGTACATAACCTAAAACAGAGTGCAAACCAGGCAGCTGAACGAGCCTGCCCAGGAGCAGTGCTGCCGCTCGTCTGCACGCGTGGGGTTGGGGCAGCACGGTCGCAAGGCCAACGCTAGTTGCCGTGCTGATCGCGCACCCCGGCTGATGATTGGGCACGTCCTGCTCATGCCCATCCCCGGTGGGCGAGGTAGGCATACCCCGTGCAGCCACGACGCACGTGCTCAAGCACACTCACAGAACCCGCAACGATTCTGCCGCACTCACCCCTGGCCCCTGGCCTCCCCACCACAACCATCGCAGCGGCCGCCACAACTCGTACCTCCGAAACTACGTGACCACCGGCAAGGCCAAGATCCTCGACACCCAGCGGCAGGCGAGCGGGCATGGGCACGGCCCGGGGACAGATCTAGAGATCCCGGTCCGGCAGGGGGGGCCGATTGCGAGCGGGAGGGTTCCTTGAGTGTGGAGAAGGCTGCTTGCCCCCCCCCCCACCAATGATCCGTACCCGCCAGATGAGTCTGCTGTGTTAGCGACAGGAGACTCGTGTTGATCCCCGACGCTGCGGCCTTGCAACGCCGCTGGCACAGCGGCTGCATCGACACGGGGCCTTTACCGCGCCTCACGTCTGCGTTAAGGGCCGAACCAACCACCGCCCGCCAGCGCCGCCGAGGCGAAAGCAAGCATTGCGCGCTGCTCACGCACGCGCCCTGCTGCATGTGCACACTCCAAGCTCGTAGCTACCATCCGCCCGCGATTCATCTTTTACAGGTGGTTGCGCTGCACAAGGCTCGGTATGTGTTCCCCGTGAGCATCTACGTCACCAAGTGAGTCGTGTCACCTTGGACGACGGGTGCCACGCAGCCCCCAGGGGTCGACGGGCGCCAGGGTTGCACACCGCTTTGCTGGATGGCGGTACCAGTTTGATAACTTTGGACGCGCTAAGAGGGACGGTCGCCTGGCTGAACGTGATGCACTCCGTTATTTCCTGCAGGGTGTCCGGCGGCGGGGCTGATGCGCTCTTCATGGGATCCATCGCCCCTGCAGCAGAGGTTTGACGCTCGGCTGTAGCAGCGGGGGTTCTGGGGCAGAGGAGGGGCGGGTCGCTGAGGCGCGCCCAGGCGCGTAATGTTGCACCCAGCCTGACGTTCCCCCTGCTTTCTTGCTGCTGCGTTGCAGAGTGCGAGATAGGGCGCAGCACACCGTCCTCAAGACCCTTCACCAGCCCTTCTACCCTTTCAAGGCCGTCTGCTCATGGCAAGACACTCGCCCATTGCAACACAACACAACCCCCTGCCCAGGACCCGGGCACTGTACGCGCGTGGGTGACGAGCGGCGGACTGGCCCTCTGCGTGGACCGGCGCTTTACGGACTGGCTCGGCCGCGGGCAGGCGGACTGCGAGGGGCGGCCCTTCGCGTCGCTGGCGGACGAGCCCCGGCGCCTGGAGGAGTGAGCGGCCGGCCGCTTTGGATTTGTCTTCAGTCGCCGGCGGGAAAGCTCTCTGGGTGGCTCTCAAGGGCGCGCGCCGCAACGCCCACGATCGCCTGCGACGACAAGCTACTCAGACACCTCCATCATCAGCCGAAATCGCCTCAGGCTCCAGTTCCCCTGCTTTTATTTCAACCCGCAAACCGTGCTCTGCCTCGGTCATGCACCACTGACTCCACTGATCACCCCCATCTCACAACCACCCGCGTGGCAGCCTGCTGCTGAGGGCGTCCCAGGCCACGGCCGAGGAGCTGCATGGCGGCAAGGTGGCTCTGCAGGTGCGGCCATTGCGTCAGCAGGGCAATGTTTATCGGGCGGGGCGACATTAAACTGTGTCACTCGGCCGCCTCGCATGGGGCGCCGTGTTCATGCACCTGCCTGGCGAGGGTGCGCGTCCCTGGCCAAGGCTCCGCGCTGCTCGCCCCTCTTTCAGCCATGCGTGTTTGTCAGACGACACCGCGTGCCTCCACACCGCCACAACACCCACTGTTGTTGCCGTGGCCGGCTCACGGCTGTTATGTCACTGTGACCTCACCGCAGGGCGTGGAGCTCGTCCACAAGTATGCAGGGACGGTGCGCGTCGACATCACAATCGACCTGGGAGGTGAGGGTTCTGCAGTTTTAAAGTCGAGGGTGTAGGCTGTTGTGCACAGCAGCCGCATCCTTTACTGCACATCCAGAAATCCGCGTCGGCCTCAGCCGACACATAGTGGATGGCTTGGATGCTTCAGGGGCTGCTGCTTTGGTTGCTGCGCAGCGAGCCCTGAATGGGAGGTGGCTGCAGGAGCACTTGATCCAGAGCAAGCACGTTGATGCCTCCCAAGCAAGCTGACCGCCACTTCACAAGAATACGGAATTCACAAGAATACGGGATACCAAGGCGTGCTGCGGAAGTCCGAATTTTGCGTGCTTCATGAGCGCCACGCCGCCTGGAGCCTCTACATGCATGCCGACCTCTGCCCGCGCCGGCGGCCGCCCTGCCTGCCCGCCCCCAGGCACGGACGACCAGCGGCTCTTCGTTGCGTCGCTGCGGCGGCACGGCCACGCGGATGACTACCTGATGGCCCTCGACAAAAAGTGAGTCATGATGATGCAGCATGAGTCACAAGGTGGCCACAGGTCGATTTGCGCAGAGGTGCTCGCATCACGAGTGCTGCTTCTGCGTATGGCGGCGCGCGGTCTTGGCGTGCCTGTGGGCTCAGCGGACGCTCGGGGAGGCCCCACACACATCGTGCCGCCCCCCTCACCAGCGCCCCGGACCACTCCTGTGAACCGGCCACTCCACCGAGCAACAGCAAGCGCCCAGCCCCGCCAAGGGCTGCTTGAAACCCCACTGCCGCGGACGCAATCGATCGGCATCGACCACCATACGTTGATCCGGCTCCTCACATCGACAGGGGCCATGTGACATACGCCACGTCAGCGCTGGCGACGCTGCTGGGCACAACGCCCGAGTCCATGGCGCGGCAGGAGGTGGGGCGCTTCATGGCGCAGCCGTTTGCCCAGCTGCACTCAAAATGGTTCAAGGTGGGCAGAGACGGGAAGGAGCATGGGATGGGGTTGTGAAAGTGGGGGAGCGCGTGCGCAGGAGTGCGTGCGCACGGGCGGGTGGGATGGCAGGCAATTGGGTGCGGGCAAGCGCGCACGTGTGTGTGTG